GTTAACAGAGAGATCTAACAGAAACCCTAACGGCGGAACCACATTGCAAAAAATTTACAAACTAAGGGTATGCGATTGTTAAAATTGAAAAGACAGGGACTAACATGCCTTAAGGGTGTAAGTACAGGGTACTAAATTGTAATTAACCCTATTTTTGTTGTTGTTTTTAATAAAAATTTTGGGCCGAGCTGAGGTTTCAAAGGGCTTGGTTCGGGCTCGACCATCGAGCTAGGGCGTGCCACCATGGGCCTAATCGACCGGGCTTTTATAATTTTTTTTTTCAAAGTCTTTTAAATATTTTTGTTACACTTTTTTTTTTGGGTCAAAAGTGATGGATAAAGAGTATTCTCTTAAACAATAGTATAGATTACTATATAACTTAAGAAAAAAATATATATAATAACCAAACTCTTTGACTAAACCTAGACCAATGGCCAATATATTTAAAAAATATTATACCTAAAAATGAATCTTATGCAAATATACCAAACTAGGATTGGCATCATGAAAATTAAAGCAATTTGTGCTATTAGAATAAATAAAACCAAAATAAGCCTTCAAATTATTTATTGAACCATTAAATTTGAACTTGAGAAAAAAGGCACACAAAAAGATATATATTGCTTGTTTGCTACAAAATTTTAGACAACATAGAAAACTAACTTATGGTTGAACAAAAATAATAAAAAGAAAGAGCACAGTTATGTCTCAATTTGAGTTTGTTCGATCACAACATTAAATGCCAACAAAATCTCTACAGGCATACAAATTCAATAGTTGCAGGCACTTTTTCTCGAAGGCATTGCATAGCATGGTCTCTTGCTTTCGCTTCTTCGACCTTTTCAACTTCCCTAACTCTTACATAAGATTCATTCAAACGCTGGACAGGATGGACAATAATTTTCTCCAGTGCAACAGCACTCTTTATTAGGTGCATGACATGTTGAACAACACATGTATGAGCACGATACCCTACAATTTCTAATACCTTCAGGTAATGATGGGGGCATTCGCCTGCGCTCTTTATTGGTCCCATTCCTGCAAGTGTTGTAAAATTCAACTGCACCAAGAAAACATGCAAATTCAACACTACGCTACATGAACTACAAGGACCATTTAAGTCTATTACCATGTTTTGTCAACTGTGGAGCAAAAGTTGACATTTTTGTTTTCTTTCTTATAAATTGGTAATAGAATGACTATAGGATTAACAAATCACCTACAGTGCACACAAAAATGCCCAAGTTTTTACCCAAGTTTTAACAAATCACCTAAATTCTCAACAAAACAAAAAAGCCCAAGCTTTACTATGTAATCTACCAGGATATGAGTAATACCTTCAACACAAGTCTCTGCACGAGAGGAGATGCCTTCATGAAAGAAGTTAAATGAAAAAGATCCATATCATAATTTGCCTTCACTGTTAATTCCAAATGCTTGACATTTGCTAATACGGGAAATACATAATCCTGATTGTAGACCTGAAACCCAAACAAGTTGTAAGGAACTACATAATCCAAAAGAAAAAAAAAAACCAACACGTCATAATTACATATACTAACCGCTAAATCAATATCCAGCACGAATATCTCCAGCTGAGAAAGACAGCAAGAGAGTTGGGTGAAGGGAAGCTCTATGGATTTGCGGTAAACATGTACCTCATCCGAAAAAATACGAACAAGCCTCTCAGAAACGGACACCTCAACAAGGAATGGTACATTATTGAGGAGAAGGTTGGTTGCTTTTCCCTCATAAATAAATGAAACAAGTTTTACGTCACGAATCTCAATGCTTTCAAGTTTACACCATTTTATAGTTAAATACTTTAATGCAATTGAGGGACCGACAACTCCTAA